CTTTTTCTATATGAAAACAATAATGTAAACAAATTTTATCGTTCATCAAATAGCTTACGTAAATGGTAATGCACCTAAATGAAATTGAACTAATGCTTTGAATAAATTGATTGTTTTTAGTACCACAATTGAATCAAATGAATCATCGGTCATACATAAAATTCTATTGTCTCCCATCTATATACATATAAGAATAACGAATTTAATAAAAACTCTCTATGTATTGTCATCATCATTCATACTTGATCGAAAAAAACTTTCGTATTTGATTCAAGTGTTACTTGTCTAATTGGACTTTTTTTATATAATGTTTGTCCATGAAGAGTAACTAATGTAGAGAAATGTTGTACAATAGCATCATCAATTGAAAAATTTATATCTGAATTATCCTTAAAAACTATTTTTAATAAATAAAACGAAATCGAAAAAAAAATGTATTTTTACTTGATTATTTTCATCGAATGAATAACCTCGATCGACAAACAATTTATGTAAATATTCAAATAAATCCTTGGTTAAAAATCGATAAACTAACGAAGAATTTGATTCAAAAACAAATATACCAAATAAACAGCGTGTAGTCATATTTTTAGTTTTGTTTTGACAAAAAAAAAGAAGAAGAAGAGAAAAGATATAGTATTTTTTTTTCTTCTTATAAAAGATAACAATTTGCTTGTTGATATATGACGTATTCTATTTATTTTAGAAAAAAAAGGAATTATAAATAAAAAAAAATGTATTATCATTCTGTAATATTTGCAACAGCACATTTCTTTTTTGAATGTTCTTTCCAACGAATATGGATTTCAACAAATGCATAAGACAACATACTTATAGATAAATAAATAAGAAGAAGAATAAGAGAAGTTCGAATCGTAACATAACTAGAATACTGTAAAAATAAAATAATGTAATTATTCATTTGAATTTATAGATCAAAAACTTACACTATAAGTTATCACAAAACCAATTGCTTTCCATAAACGATATTTTGCTAAAGCACTTGGATCAGTATCCGAATAAAGAACTGTATAAGTAGCTAAAATAAAGAGAAACATCATGTTCAATTGCTTTCATATATGATAGGTATATTTTCATACCAATAACTTGTGTTTGCCAAATTGCATCTGCAATTCCCCAAAATCCAGCAATTACAAATAATAAAACCATTTGACTTGATTTTGGTTCCCAAAGAAACATTAATATAATCATAGCATAATTAATTAAAGCAGCAATAGAAAATACAAATATTCGTCCTGTATATTTAACAAGACGTCCAAAGATATAACTACTCAATGCTTGAAATATTCCATTACATACCATAACAAGTCCAACATACCGAATACCAATAAGACAAGTTATAAAACCCTAATATAAAAGAAATATTTCAATATTTTTAGTAGAATAGATTTATTTACTCGAGTAAATTGTGCAGTTAAAAACGCTGTTTCAATTGTTGTCCACATTGTAATTGGTATGAGAAAAAATTGATCAATATGTTTCCATTCTTTTAATGATAGAAGAACTTCAAGACTTTTTTTTAATAATTGTTTCATAGTTTCTAAATTAATACAAACAAAAAAAGAATATCGAACTAAAAGATAAAATTCTTTCGTACGTTTTTGAGTTAATGCAATTGAATCAAGTGTTAAAAATAAGAGTAACATTGATAATAAACCCATTCCAGTAAATATTCCACAAAGAATATAACGCTTTAAAAAATAAATATATGATAGATTGAAACAAAAGATATATATCTTACTGTTGTATCATCTACATTTTGAGTTGTATTTGTTGGTGAAGCTGATGTAGGATTAAAATGAACTCCACAATTTATTTTTTGTGCAACACTAGATTGATTAAGTACAAAATATGATATTACATTACCCCAAATTGTATTTGTACCAAATAATGCAAAGAATATACCAAAAAATAAACTAACGGATATTTCATGACTTTGATTTTTATGTTGAGCATGATAACGAGCTATTTGATTAAGATATGTAGCTTTTGCTGTCCATAATGGAGCAGCAGCTAAACCAACAAGAGCTGCACCTAAAAGAAACACAATTAATTCATAAAACTTGGCCTCAAAAAAGAAAAAATCTGCTATAAAACACTTGAAGATAAAAAAGACAAGATCTGTCAATCATCTCTTACTGATATACATAAGTACTGGTAAAGGTTTTATATTAGCAGCTATATAAAATATATAACCAATTGCACCAATTATTATCGTAAATTTAAGACCAAATAAATCCATACAAACACCAGTAAGAGCTATAGAACTAAACTAATACAAGTGAAAATTAGTTTTTAAGTAAAATTTGTTTCGAAAATTAATTGACTTACGATCAAAAAAGAATAAGTTATAATCAGAGAATTAACACCAACATTATTTTTTGTATTTAAACTTGATTGAAGTGTTACCATACCATTATAAGCCGTAAATAAAATAATAAATGATAGAGAAAGTAAAATTAAGTTTTTATAAATTTTTCGAATTGAAAATATTGGTATTGTATCATTTATAATAGTTGGTTGATTATCAGGTGATGTAGATTTTAATGGATCTATAT